AAAGATTTGCATGAATTGTCATAACATATTTTTTTATTTAACAGATTTGAGATTTGATTCTGACTTAACAAAGAAATATACAAAACTGACATGTTTGAAAAATATTCTGGAGAATGAACTTGACCTTTTTGACATTTGATCTGTCAAGGTCAAGTTTTGAATTGCTTTAATTGAAATGATTTTGTGTTTATTTACAGATTGTTTGCATACTTCAACAAAAGAATACATATGACAAAGATGTTAAAATTATTCTGATATACCCATTCCCTTTATTTGGCATTGACTGTCAATGTCAAATTATTGGAATTTGCTTAAATTGTCATATATTTTGAAATTTATATATAGATTTGATTCATTCTTAGACAAAAGAGCATTTATGACAAAACTAACATGATGATTAATTTTAAATATGATCTTGACCTTGGCTCTTGTTGATAAATGTTTTGTCACTGAAAAACAAATACAATGTTATTTTTCATAAACGTTAAGTAATGTATTTCTATTACAGGTTACAGGACTTAAGTTTGGAAGACTTTAAAAGGTCATCAAAGTTCTTGCAAGGTTTCACATAAATGCCAGGTATGTGGTGTATTCCTGTATCAAAAGAGTGGATTAAAAAAGACATATAAAACTTACACACATGAATGAGAGAAAATACCAGTGTTCTACATGCCCTTATTCTGCCAAAACAGCTCGGAGACTTAAAGAACATGAATTGAGTCATAGAAGTAAGTTTGTTTTACCCTATAGAGCCTTTTTTTTACTGTAAATTCATATGTTGCCGAATGTATATGGTATGTACAGCTACAAGCCAAAACAACTATTCATTTTGCCACATTTGGTCTGATTTCTATTCAAATTGCACATATGGTTCAGTTCCGTAGAGCAAGATGGCTCCTATATCAAAAATTACAAACACCTTAATATAACCTTTCCACCTTTAAGCAACTTCAAAGGAGGTCCAAAGACATAAAATTTGAATTTCTTTCATATATCGGATGTGTCACCAAACTTACAACACTTTCAAAACAACTGGTGAAATCTCATCAAAACTAATCAGTACCATGTTCAATCAATTTTTCTAGACTACTCTTCTTATTTAATCTAAACCAATTTCAAAGAAACTTCACATGAGTGCTTTAAAGCTCATTTACTTTCGCACATTTAAAAATTGTTTTCAGGTTGAAAGGTTTTTGGCTGAGTTTTGGCCTTAAATAAAAAGGTATTTTGGCCTGTTGACAATTTTTGAATTGCCAGCTGTACAGAAGCTACAAAGAAGTAAAGTGACAATATATAGGAATCACTTCTTTGTCATTTGTATATCTACCGTTATTTATCCGAGAGTACATTTGGATACTTGTGTGACTTGAAAAACAATAGTAACAATACTTTCTCTTTGATGTCATCCATGCAGTAAGGTTTTTTTGTAAGCTCACTAGCACCGAAGGTTCAAGATGAGCTATTAGTATCAAAGGGGTATGCTCCGTAGTCCGAACTACAAACATTTTCTTCTGCTGAACTTATTGATGGATGATCACTAAACTTTGTATGTAGTCTTTATCAAATTTGCTGACATTAATTTGATTGGCCCCATTTAGTTGCCTCTAGAGCTAAAATAGTAAAACTTTTAATACCTTCTACTGAAATAATTGAAAGATGATCACCAAACTATTTCTGTAGCATTCATAGGTAGTCTTTTATCAAATTTGTTCATATTAATTTGATTGGCCCCCTTTTAAAGGCCACTAAATGAAAAAAACAAACACTCAAATATTTTGGTTTGCCAAACAAAATGGCTACAAGACCTTAAAACAGAAAAATATCAACTGCTCAACCACTTAATAGATTTTGATGATTTGTTGGACAAGGATTATGTCCTTTGGTGAGTCATACATGGTGTTCCTCTACCAGTAAAGCTAGAATCACAGTTTCACTTTAAGGGGACTGAGGTTTAAAAGCACAATTCAAGTGATTCTTCCAGCAAAACAATATGAGCAAAATATTTGGATTTAGTATGCAAGTCATTGGTAAAAAAAACTCATTGAAAATCCCATTAACAATAATGATTTGGTAATTTTAAGTTTACATACTAAATTTATGCATACATGTATATTTGCAGGTTGTCATCCGTACTTTTGTGACAAATGTACATTTACATGTGTTCAAAGATACCAACTAAAGTCTCACATGAGAACACATACTGGGGAGAAGCCGTATAAGTGTTCACAATGCAAGTTTGCAGCTGCATGGAATGTTCAGCTAAAGGAACACGTCAAAGTTCATGGGATGGAAAACACAGTTGCATGTTCACATTGTGATATTGTTTTTCGTAACCAAAAAGCTTTAAAAATGCATGAGAAAAAAGATCATCCTAAAATTCATGGAAATATTAAAAAATCGAAAAAGCGACGATAGTTAATGTTCATACTTGTGTTTAGCTTGTAAAACATGCTTCTTAATGAATAAGTTTTGAACATAAATTAGGGATATAATAAAATTATTATTATGTTTGCCAGAATGACAAGTTGATTATTGAGTATGATGTTTTTATATTCATGTACACTTTCTTGCTTTGTTTTCTGTTAATTGCGAAAAACAAGTATGTAATAGAATAATATAGAAATAAAACTGAACTTGACTCCAAGAAGTTTGAAACTACAGGCCTTTGTTTTTTGGACTGATTGACCAAATACCACACAGCAGTTACTTCCCTTGATCAGTTAAAGGTTTAGACAAAGTGAATTTATTTTGCAACCACTTCACGTCGCCAATCCTGTTTGGATAAATTGTTTACTGACAAGAGTTAGAGCAGGGGCAAGGTATTGTAGAACCTTCAATATGATATCTAGATGTCTGTGTACCAGGTCTGGATGCACTAATATGCCTGTCTAATGAACGGAATAGTTTCACCTAGTCAATGTTCCCTGCAGCACCAATGGCTGCTTCTAGAGGAATCACCCAGAATCCCAATGGGCCCTTTGCCGTTAGGGGTTATAGCCAATCAAGGTTATGAAACATATACTCACGTACTCAACCTATCTCGTACCAAGGTTCGTGAGCACCACAGTATTTACCAAGCATAAGATTTTATATTTTCACCATTACTTTAATGCAACAAAAGTCATGTTTTTACTTTGTAACGTTAAGCACCCAGAAGCAAACCTTGATGGTATATTGTTCATACTCTGTACCCATCAGAAATTCGGGGACGGATAAATTAATTTTGGTGAGGAAGAGTATGTTGAATTACAGAACTTTTTTGTGAAGCTGGGCAGCTTAGTATACAGGAAGCAGTTGAACTGTAATGCAAGGTTGAATATATGACGACCTGACTAGCGTATTGATGGCGATTTTTAGTTTCGTTGACATCTTTAAATACAATATCATACATATTAATTTATGATTTTTATGTGCCGTGTACCTGAGACATTTTCCAATCTACTCGTGTCATATTACACTTAAACTAGCAGATAAAACGTAATTGAGACCATTTTCACGAGGTAACGTCGGATTCGTGATTGAAGCAAGGGCGGTTATCTTATTAAAAGTAGCTAAATCATATTTTACCAGTTTCCTTCTATTGTTATACTAAACTTGTAGTTTGACAAATGTCTTAGGTATACAGAATATGAAACAATAATGTTTTAAATGTGTTAAATGTACATATTTATTTAACGAAACACAAAAGTTATCTTCAAAACGGTAATCAGGTTGACTTTCTAACTAATGATTTAAAAAAAATGTAAACATTTTCCTGAAAAAAAATTGTAATGCTGGTTAAAGAATAATGTCGTAGCAGCCGTATGTGCAAATGCATTCCTTAAAATTTAATTTAGAATCAAAAATTTTGGTTCGTTTACTTACTGTATTCGTTTTGGCAATAGTGTTGCACAGATTCGGCGTTAACTTTTACGTTATTTGCATATTCCTGCGTTACTGGATATACACGGTGATGTTGAAGTTTGGGCTGTCAGACTGAGGTTATTTAATTGTTCAAGGAATTCAGCATCAAAATATGCAAATATTGCAGCAAATTAACCCTTTCCCTCATGTGCATATTGTGATAAATGGCCGTTTAATTTCATTGAAAAGCCTCCTGTTACAAGTTCAAACTGCTATGAAAAATGCTTCAATACTAATCAAACTTGGCACATATGTTGACTGGACCATTGCCTTTTTAACGACATGCTCAGTCTTAAATTTCCTGTTACCATGGCATTTGTCTCCTATAATTTCTGAATGGCGGATATTTGCAGGGCTGTTTTAAATTTGTTAAAATATATGTTACCGTATCAGTACTTTTTTCTGTGGGAACTTTATTTCTGCTATTTCTGCGGTTCATAACGGCACCGCAGATTTAAAAACCGCAGAAAATTAAGCTTTTCCCTATGTCTTTTTCGGAATATGTCAACTAACGGTATTGTATAATTACATTACCATGTACCGTTAGATGGGAATTTTCTTTATGAATGAAATGAAGAAATAAATAAAATATTAGACAAAAGTTACTTTACTTGTTCTTTTAATAAATATTATTTCCTAATTCGCTACGCTCAAACGTAAATAAATTATTTATCCCATAATAAAGGCAATCGAAGGAAGAAAGAACAACAAATACATGAATTCACATTTAGGATTTGTTATCTGCATTGCCGTATATCTACATTACTAATACATGTTCTTAGAAACAGCATACATGACATTAACATCTCAACGTTTCATAAATCTATGTAATCTAATCTAAAAGGACTTTCTTTACAATAATCTCATATCTTTATTACGAACATTAACATGGAAAACACACAGTTATGAACGTACTTTCCCTGTCAGTAATGCTGCGAGTCGGCTGCGCAACCCTACTCCATCGTGGGAGGGGGCCGTAGTAGGAAACCAAAACTCAAGACCAGCCACCTTCCGTAAGTGCTCTGACATAATTTAATGAGAAAATCCATAAAAACAACCCACTTACTATGTAAAATGTAATTAAAAGCCGAATATGTACACTCATTAACTGCACGCTTTCCACCAATAAGTTCAGAACATTTACAAAAACGTATAAAATATGGAATCTCTTCTTATATACAGACTATAAAAATTGAAATCATAATTTTAAGTTCAAGGTATCGTATTTCACTAACTAAAGAATCGTTCTCCAAAATAACGAACATCCTGGGAAAGTAGTACATCTTGTTCTTGTATCAAAATCTGAAAAACATAAACTTCAGTAATTAACAATATTTTTAGTTAAATTCAAATCGTTACCAAAACGTAAAAAACTTGACTGAATTAATCTAAAAATGCATCTTTATAATACCATACTTCATTTACCATTAATACATTTATGTATTTATAAATCAATTATAAACCTTGCAAAATTATTCTGCAGTTGTAAGAATATGCTTGTCCTTTTTAATTAGCGTGTCGATTTAAACGATTAAAACGATTTATCAAGACTAAAAATGGACCAAGAAAAATCATTGTTACTGTACAGATTAACTATGACTGCGTGAAATTTTCGGGAGGGTGGAAGGGTATCAGTGCACGATAGAGTAAAATAAACGTGTGTAGCAATGCAGAAAACCTCGAATGATATACACATCTATCCGACTTTATTATATATTACTGACGCACGACAAAATCGTGCGTATCATATTCAATGAATTTCAATACAGTAAAACTTCGATTACCTTAACCTAGGATAAATATATTTATGTTTATATGATTTTCGCTCACCCTAAGCTTGACTTTAATAATTATTGTAAAATTAAACTATTATAGTTTGACGGATGCAATAAATATAGTTACCCTTTTTGTATTTGTACAATATCTTGTGTCTACGTGCGATTTTACCATTGTTTATTTTTCACATTTCATATTTATACACATGCAGTAATACAAATTATTGTTGTCATTGCACGTTGTTGATTTCTGTTTATTAACGTTTATATAACGATACGCATAATGATTACGATTAAACACATTATAAGTCATCTGAATGTTTACCAGAAGTAACGTATTTGTTTGTATCGGTTAATTTTGTAAAAATATCTAAATTAAAACGCAGAAATAAAAAAAACATCAATGCGGGAATGATGACACCGCAGAAATTAGATACGCAGAAATTTAAAACGCCTTATTTCAACAAAAATCGCAGAATATTAAGCCCGCAGAAATAAGTACTAATACGGTATTTACCGAAAATCATCGCCGATTGTTAAAATCCATTGCGCTAAATCACACAAAAACAGTTAAAACACTCACGCAAAATGTACAGTAGCATCTATAAATAAAAGGAATATAATGTTTCCATTGTTAACCCATTACTTCATGAGCATTTTGTGAAAAATGGCTGTTTTCATTGAAAAGTCTCCCGTTACAAGTTCAAATTGCTATAATACTATAAAAACTGCTTCAACACTAATCAAACTTGGCACAAATGTTGACTGGACCATGGCCCTTAGGCTTAAATTTTCTGTTTCCATGGCAACGAGGGGACATCTCAAAATTGCCAAAAATCACTATTTTGCCTTGATTTTTTTCATCAAAATTAATTTCAAAGTGCTGCAACTTCTCAATGGATTGAGATAGAGTCAAGGCTTTTCAGCGTTGGTTACACGTTACCTAATGATCGACCTGGGGTCATTTTTAGCCTCTCAGAAGTCAAAATTTTATTGGCGATGAGGGGGCTGCCGCCCCCTTCAAACCCCTAAACAGAAGGGGACTCATACCCCTTCTGGCAACCCCCTGATGTACCTTTTGGATGAAGGGGGAGGGGGGCGCCGAAAAAGTGTTCACTATTTTTAGCAACATTTCTCAAACGAAAACATGTGTTTTTGCCCCAATTTTTTCACTATTTTGAGGCCTAAAAGAGGGGGGGGGGTCGAAAGTGCGTTGTTTCGCGTTTATATGTGGTGAATGGTGATCTTTCACCTAATTTTGGTGAAAAATTGTTGGTTTGTAACATGTTTTTTTTAGTTAACCCTTTCCCTCATGAGCATTTTGTGAAAAATGGCCGTTTAATTTCATTGAGAAACCTCGTGTTACAATTTCAAACTGCTATGAAACTATGAAAAATGCTTCAATACTAATTAAACTTGGCACAAATGTTGACTGGACCATTGCCATTGTAACGACATGCTCTTGCTTAAATTTCCTGTTACCATGGCAACGAGGGGACATCTCAAAATGGCCAAAAATCACTATTTTGCTTTGATTTTTTTCCATCAAAATTTATTTCAAAGTGCTGCAACTTCTCAATGGATTGAGATAGTCAAAAGCTTTTCAGCGTTGGTTACACTTTACCTTATGATCGACCTGGGGTCATTTTTAACCTTTCACAAGTCCAAAATTTTCTTGGCGATGAGTGGGACTGCCGCCCGCCCCCTTCACCCCCCCAAAAAAAAAACAGAAGGGGGCACATCCCCCTTCTGGCAACCCCCTGCTGAAGTACCTTTTGGATGGGGGCGGCGCTGAAAAAGTGCTCAATTGTTTTAGCAACATTTCTCAAACGAAAACATGTGCTTTGGGCCCAAATAGAACATATTATTTTTTCACTATTTTGAGGCCTAAAAGGAGGGGGTTCGAAACGCGTTGTTTCGCGTATATATATGAGGTAAAGGGTTAAACAAGCGTGTTGTCGTGTTGAGTATTGTGAATTTTTTATTAATTTCTTTCTGGCTGAGAAGATT